AACAAAACCGTAATGAATGCAGCTAGCACAGGATTACTTGCACAGTGTTTTTGGAAAGAACAGTGGAGACGGATGACGCATAAGACAACTGGTGAAGTCACCCCATGTGTGTTTATACACCACTACTGTATTTAATCATTAGCAATTATTAAACTCTGTCTCTTGATTTGCCTTTTCTCCTGTCTCTCTCTGTTCTTATTACTTTCCCCTCACTGCCAAGTGTCCACAGGAGATGGCTCTCCATCCCTGCACCTGGTTCTGCTGAAAGTTTCTTCCTGTTAAAAGCGAGGTTTTCCTTCCCACTCTCACCAAGTGTTTGCTTATAAAGGGTTGTGTTGTTGGTCAATGTTGGGGTTTCTCTTTAATATTATAGGGTCTTTACTTTACAATTTTCCAATACAAAGTGCCGTAATGCAACTGTTGTTGTGAATTGGTGCTATATAAATCAAATTGAATTCCACTGAATTGAGATGTTTAGATGTCTCGTTGTGTCCCTGGACTCTGTAATGCTTTTCTTTGCATACTCCTTTTTAACTTAACCTCTTTCTGGGCCTCAGTTTGCAACTTTTCTCACTTTCACACATAAACACACACACACACACAGACCAGTACACCAAGAGGCATGGTACATATTATGGGATAAATGCTAGTGGTTAACCAGACACTAACTCCAGCAGAGAAGTTATTTTGGCATTGTGTCATGGTAATGGCATTGTCTCCGGAGTGTGGTTGACTGAGATCAAAATGTTATCCTAAATAGAAGGTCCGCAACAGGAAGGGAAGGCTGCTGTTGTATCTCTATTTGTGATCAGGTCGTGCATAAGAATCTTTCTACTTATTTGAGAGAAACCCAACTTCAGTGTGGTGTACAACGAAGTGTACAAAGATTGGATGAATGAAAAAGAGAGTACATGTAAGTGTTTAGTGGCCACTGTAGCTTATATTATTATTCACGGTCAATGAATGCTCTTCGTACTTGTTTCTTAAAAAGACATGTATACTTTAGTGACTTCAAAAAGCAAGAAAAATAAAAATAAATTAGAAAAAAAACAATTTTAAGCTCTTACAACTAGACATGAGTAGCAACAAGCACATTTACAAACCCAGTTCCAAAAAAAGTTGGGACGCTGTATGAAATATAAATGCAATGATTTGCAAATCTCTTAAACCCATATTTTATTTACCATAGAAGACAGAAAACAAAGCAAATGTTTAAACTGAGAAGTTTTACCACTTTATTAGAAAATGTTAGCTAAATTTGTTGGCAGCAACACATTTCAAAAAACTTAAGACAGGGTGTTGTTTACCACTATGTAGCACCCCCGCTCCTTTTAACAACACTCTGTAAACATCTGGGGACTGAGAAGACCAGCTGCTGGACTCAGAGAGGAATGTTGTCCTGTTGTTATCTGATATTGGATTCTAGTTGCTCAAAAGTCTTGGGTCATTTTTTGGGGTGGGGGCTTCTCCCATGATTCAATTCCAGCCAGAGACAGAAATCGTCTTTAGTACTACTTACTTTTTCAGTTTTTGTTCCCCTGTCCCAATTTATGTTTTTCAGACATTACAAGAGAGCCAGGTGATGTCACATTCAAACTGAGCAAATATTTTTCATGAAATTGTAAAATGACTCTGTTTAAATGCTAAATATGTCCTATTATGAATAAAATATGGGTTTACGAGATTAGCAAATCACTGTTTTTGTTTGCATCTGTGTAAGCGAGGTAACTTTAGCCATTTCTACTAGTTGGAATAGTTTAAATCCTCTTAACTTTCACTGGAATTTATTTTTAAAGGGCATTAAAGTTTCCTTTCAGGCACAGTATTGAACCCAGATACACTGTGACTCACCTCCATATGTGTCAGTTTACAGTGTAATAGTAGATTCAGGTAAAGCAAACAATGACTGGCCTAACATCTTCTCTTGTTTTTCTGTCTCTCAAGAGAAAGGAAAACAAATTGACACAGTTTCCAGCACTTCGAAAACCTTTTTGATCATGCCCTTAAAGTCCAGATTTGAAAATTGTTATGTGCACATTTGCAATTTGCAAACTTGTGCTTAAAGCAAAGAAATTCTTTAGTAAAACTGACCCAGCCTTCATCTTGATGATTACAACTGGTGACTATAGTTGGCTCCGTGACCCAGTGATCAAACAGCAGTGTTCACTGGAATAGCCTATAAGCTTTTAATGAAAACAAGACATATCACACCAGGAACACTATCAGTAACATGCTATTATTGGTCCACACCGTCAGGGCTGCAGACATTAACATCCTGGTATGTCCAAAACTGAACATTTTGGCTGAAAGAACCTGCACTGTAGCACGTGTTATGGTCTACCATGTAACAGCAAAAAGAAGTTTTCTTGACCACACAAACACAATTGTGGCTCACCACTTGCCTTGCTCAGCAGATCTGACTCCCTGTAACATCACTCTGTTCTACAAAATGAAGGCTCATTGCCTTTCAGAAATAATTACAACGTAATGGGAGTGCTAGAACTACTACAGGAAGGAGTCAACCTTTAGTGTAATGGTAAAATTGAATTCATAGAACTGATTTGCAATTGTTTAACTTTTCACATTGATCACCATCATCTCAAAGCTACCTGGAACTTGGTAGAACTACCACAACTGTTTTTTGACTAAAAAGGCTTTCCAAGGCACTCGGGAAAGTTCGAAACTAGAAGATAAGGAATTAGATCCAGATGCCTCAAGAATGACTAATGCACTCTATGGTAAATTGTTGTTTGCCATTAAGGACAATTACGAGCAAAAACAGCAATTAAAATACCAAATGGCTGGACACTGGCGAAAGTTCCTTCGAAATAGGTAAAATCTTCAAAGTCAGTGTTTTGCAACTGGTGACTGCGTTGCATTACGTGTTGTTCTAACATGGTCACATTTAAACTGTATGAACAAAGACAGACCTACTGCCTGGTCTTCATCTTCACAACCAGTCTTTACATGCTTCATCTGAGGCATGAGCCTCCACTGCAGTCAGCAATGCCACACACACGTTCAATTGCACAGCTGTTTAGGAGAACAGCCTGGAGAGGATTTTAACTCAGTTATTGGAAGCCAAGATATGTTATCTTTCTTTTTTGTTCAACCCCTATTTGCAATCATATATTTTAACTGTTACTGCACTTATGCTTAAAGCCAGAAGAACACAGAATAATCAGTTTCATTTAAAGTTAAAATTGAGAAAATTTTGATGTGTTGAAAAGTTGAAAAATAAATCCATTTACATAAACCCTGGTGATTTGAATATATATGATTTTCAGCTCATTGTATAAATAAGACTATGTGAGGGAGAGATGGACAGAGCAGAAACAGACAGCGACAAGATCGTTGTGTTTTGTTAACCTGTGTTTGCATATTTTCCACACATGCATAGGCGCTTGCATTTCAGTGGCCTTATAATGAGGTGATGTCATCACATATAACCCTTGGGGAACAGTTTGTTCTTCACAGTAGAAGTGTTTTTTGAATGAACAATGTGTCCTTCACAGTAGAAATCCTTCCTCTATGGTTATATGGACATGTTCCACTGGTGTCTCGTTTCCCTCAGAAAGTAAAACAGCTGCAATGTTGTTGGTTTGGAACAAACTCGTTTTTGGTTTTTTTTGTTTTGTTTTTTAATACTCAAACAGAGGTTGTGCAATACAAATATCAAATGCATTAACTGTCAGTTAAGTGATGGTTAATCTCCTATCCCTGTTTGAGCAAGGCACCTTAACACAGCTGTTCAGGAAAAACTAGTTCATTGGCTTTGTAAAAATGCATCATCAGCAGTAGGAACAAGCTCTACCAACAACACACACTTCCAGCATTATACACCTCAGAAGAGACAGCACAGTTTGTGTAGAGGTGTAAAGTCTTTCAGGACAAAGCAAAGTGTAAAGTATATTTATCACTATAGCATTTAACAATAAAGTGATGTCACCAGTGCAACTTACCTACTAGCTGAATGTTTTTTGTGAGAAAATGACAGAATAATTACCTCAAAAAATAAAATATGGCTTAAAAAAAGAGAGAACATACATCAACAACATGTCTTATCTTTCACCATCCATATTAGGGGAAGGGGATTAAGTAGGATTGAGGCTAATGCATTTGTGTGTGTCCGAAGCTTTGTGTGTGTGTGCTTGTATCACTTATGTTGTGAGGACACATGTCTGAATGCACACACTGTAAGGACCGACCTCCGTTTAGGGGGGAAAAGCCCCCATAAAGTAAATCATTCTATTTAGGTAGTCAGCCCCTTTCCTGCCTCTAAAGAAACACATCAAGGCAGCAAGCAGCCTTAAGTAAAGCTTTG